TTATATTTTTTCACATTGATATCTACATAGATTTTGAACAAATTCTTGTTGGTTTCTATTTACAACTTATTCTCTAAAACAATGATGTTTTGTGGCTAATTGTTTACTAGATATAAGGTTACAATCATAAAACGATAGACACAAAACAATGTTAATAGTTGAGATCATGAGTCAATTAAAGCTAGATCACCATGGAAAACCTAGAAGCACTGGACGGCCGTTTTGTCCTATGATGGGACTTCTCAGCACTACGCATCCACTAATCTGCCTCGGAGGATTCGAACCCAGGACCTTATGATCTCAACTACTGAAATTACTCCACAAAACCCCATCTGATACAAAACAATGTATTTCTTCTTCTTCTTTTTCTACTACCATAGTTATATATAATTTAAAAACTTTCAGATTTAATTAAACTGACCCATTGTGTCATTCATCTTTATAGTTGTATGGGTCTATAGATGGATAGAAAGGATTTCATTATAAAGGGATTCAAGACCTTAATTATTAAATGAGGTTACATATTAATCAGGGGGTTAGAAGGGTCACAATTATGAAAGATAACTGTCCGTTCGACAGATAATGTGGAGGAAAACGAGAAACAGTGAGGTCATAATAATAAAAACTGAATAATAATCATAATTGATTAAGGTTTAAAATTACAAAATACTATATTTAAAGAAACAAAACCCAAAATATATTACAGAAGGGATTAAGGACTAAAGAAGGATGAGAATTTGGAAGTATTGCTTTTGCATGCAGAATTCTGTGGTGAATAGATGGTTCGTCAATGCTACAGCAATACATAAGTTTTTGATTCGGCTTCCCTTCGATTCAGTCCCTTTGATTGTGTAGAATTTTTTAAAGGAAGACTCTCTCGGAGAGTTGATTACATACTCTTGTATTGAATTGAAAACTGTTCTGTACTCTCCTCTTTTAAAGCCACACCCGGTAATGTTCTGGGATGCGCGTAGAAAGTTACGGGCACTTACGCTTCACAGAACACTACACGGAGATTAGTCATATTTAAAACAGTCAAAAATTAATTTTTTTTATTGAGATCATGAACCGATTGATGTTAGATCACTATTGAAAACCTGGAAAGCACTGGACGGCCGTTTCGTCCTATTGTGGAACTCCTCAGTAGGGCCCATCAACGATCCCACTCGTGGGATTCGAACCCAAGATATTCGGTCTCGCGCGCCAACGCTTAACCTCTAGATCGCTGAACCGGCTGTCACCCAACAATGTTAACGTCAAACTTCAGCCAGTCCACGAAATTGCGTGACTATCTCTCATTGTACTGAAGTAGATACCTGTCTCTACCCGACATGGATTAGCTCCACTGATTAAGGCTTCTCACTAGAACTCCGAGAATTCCCTCATGAAGCTAGTCACTAGTGAGCACATGGAAATTATCAGTGTACGGTTGTGGAAATTATTAAGTTTTTGATTGAGATCATGAACCAATTGATGTTATATCACCATTGAAAACCTGGAAAGCACTGGACGGCCGTTTCGTCCTATTGTGGGACTCGCACATTTTAAGTGCATTAACACAAGACAATTAAAAGTAATGGAATGGCATACATCTAGAACAGGAATCAAACGAATCTGACAGTGATAAGGAGAAAATCAGTATCTTAGACAATATATTTTCTTTTGAGTAGAATCATTCAATTGAGATGTTTTCATTTTTCGTCTAAACAAAATCAATTATGGCAACCTGAAATGGAAATGAACGCTTAAAACCTATTAATAATTACCAATTAGCTTGTTTGGATAGGCTATTGTAATTATTTATTAACAAAAACACTGTTGTTTAAGTCTTTTAGCTTCTTCTTCTAATTTCTTATGTAGTATTCCATTGATATTTAAACACTTATTTCTTACTTACTTTATTACACCTGTTACTCCTCGTGGTGGAGTATAAGCCTCCCTTCAGGACTCTCCGACCAACCCTGTCCCGGGCAGTCGTTCCTAGCTCTTTCCAGTTGTTATTCATCCTCTTCATATCTGCTTCTATTTCCTGACGGAATGTGTTCTTTGGCCTTCCTCTCTCCCGCTTCCCTTCAGGATTCCAATTTAGGGCTTGCTTCGTGATGCAGTCTGGTGATTTCCTCTTCAACTGGAAGATGGTTTGTTTTCTCCAACAAAAGGCTGTTGCTGATGGTATCCGACCATTGGATGTTGCGCATCTTACATAGAAAGCTATTTATAAATACTTTTACCTTCTTGATGATGGTTGTAGTAGTTCTTGAAGTTTCAGCTCCGTACAGTAGAACTGCCTTGACGTTCGCGTTGAATAATTCAACACATTTCATTCGTCTGTAAAATTGACCTTTTTCATCGAGTCTATTAATTACATATATCATTTAGTTAGGGTTTATAGAAATTTTAAAATATTTCCTTTCTGAGCTTCTATAATCCTGAATTTTCACGTGAACATAATCTATTTGTCTAAACTAGATCGTCTTCATGATATGAAATGATATTCAGCATGTATAGTTCAAATGGTACCGTATTAATAGGTGTATAGGTGAACAAGACAATCATTTTGTTCCTTGTAATGATTCTCTCTAGTTGCTTGCTAGTCCCCTGTAAATTATCTATTTTATGTTACAAGTTAACAAGAGGTAAATTTGCCAAGTATCAAAATTAATTTATTCATCCTCAACTGATCAGTTTTGAAGACTAATTAAATTTATAAGAAAAGATGGATAGTGGCTAGCAGTGGAATCCAGTTTGACACGCGTTTCGTCCAATGTGAAACTCGTCAGCTGGATGTAACTGCACCTCAGAGTTAATGTTCACTCTGGGACTCGAACATAGCATCGTCCTCTTCAAACACTATCGCGTTATCCACTTAGTTACTGAATCCTGATAACCACCTGGTTATGCAATGAGGTGAAGTTTAAATTCACCTGGTATTGTTTGCTTGTACCTTCCCATTGTTCTTTAGAACTGCAATTGATCAATCTCTTATTGGTATATGTGTATGCTGTGCGTGTTGCCTCGATATTGCTTTAGGTCACAAGCTTTATAAACAATATCGAGACAATCCGCATGGGATGCACATATACGAACAAGAAAATGATCAGTTGTAGTCCTAAACAACAATTGGAAGGTACAAGTAAACGACACCAACTGAACTAATTAAAGTGATTCTTTGTAAGGTAAACAGATTATTATTATCATTACTGATAGTTCACTTAATCCAACGTAACTGTTTAAATTAAATCAATAACATATCTTAGAGACATGAAGTCAGAATAGATTAGATCAGCAACTTGTGAACAGTAAGGCATTATTTCAAACTACCACATATCATATCAGTAGTATTTCAAAAGTATCAGACAAGTAAACATCGAAAAGAAAACTCACATGGTACAAATGAAACACAGGGAATCAATCATCTGAAATTATACTTCGTATTCAAGGCATCACAGAACATAAATAGTAACAATCATCATCATCATCATCAGACAAGCCAACAAACTTAACAATGATATGAACAAAAAGTAATTTAAAATGTATGCTTAGAATTGTTAATATAGTCGAATGACTTTACTTAAACAAACATAGAAAATCATCTAATACTGAAAGTTTTTTTCGTTCATCAATGTAACTCCATAAAAGTACACATTCACATTTGAATAACTTTGATAAGTAAACTCGACATTCAGATGATAAGCAAGCAGTAAGTAATTGTTATGTTTGAAGCGATTACAAGTTTACCTAGTCTGAGAATGGAACAAAAACTCTGTGATCAAAGACCAATAAACTAGCTATGCTGATACGTCCCAGTTCAGCTAACTGGAGAAAGAAGTTCATGTTCGAAACGGGGAAATATATTCCGCAAGCAGCCAAAAGCACGAGCAATCCTGACAGGCACAAATCATATATATATATATATATATATATATATATATATATATATATATATATATATATATATATATATATATATATATATATATATATACAGCATAATATTGTCATTCGGAAGCGTTACAAAATAGTAAAACATACAATCAACCAATAGCGTTGAAGATCCTTCCAAGTGGGAAATGCGACATAAAAGTGAAAATGAGCGCTTTTGATGCGAAAACAAGAAATTCAAATTTTCAAAATGAAATTACAAAAATAAGGTATTTACCAAGTGAATTGTGGGGATCTAACATCCCCAACAGTAATGAAGTTTAACTAGTTTGAAAGTGAAATAGTTTCATATCCCGGTGAAAATTATGAATGGTAACTCTATATGGACAAATATCATACGTATATTCTTAATGTATAACTATTCAGTAGCTAGATTATGTATATCTATACTCCTCTTATTACAAGTTTTATTTTGACTAAAAACTATTACTATACGACTTACCATTCTTGAGTTATGCTCAGTCTATTAATTATAGTCTCCCACATTCACAACCACATTTGGCTAGATCTTGTACAAATGTTTTTTCCTATTTTATGATACGATGTTGTCTGTCTGGTTTGTATATAAACACAGTATGTTTGAAATAAATGATTCACATCGCACAGGTTTAGATTGGTGTCCTGGACTCCAACAGGCAAGGCTAGGTGGGAGGAGGACCGATAAAGACTCTGGACTGTTCGTACGGGTTTTATATATGAATGGTCTAGTCGATAACTCACTATTCCCTAATTGGCGGTATCATACATTAATAGAGCACAAGGCCACAAATAATAACAGTTAGTTATCTTTGATCTCAATGATTGCTTATCATACAACATTATGAATTGATTAATGTTGTAACTATGAACAACCGGATACTAAATCAATTTTTTTTTGCACATGTATCCTCTTCGAGATTTACAGTATCATCATGGGTTTAAGGTCATATGGTATTATAAGGAATTCTATGCTAGTATGAAATAGCTATCAAATTCTCAGAGGTTTTTCAATGATGTAAACTTTAAATCTAAAACTTAAAAGAAAACATTAATGAAATTTTTTTTATTTATTTTAATAGATGTGAGTTGTGATGTTGGAGAAACTTTCTTATATGAACGTTATTGTTGCAAAAATGTATTTAATCAAGATGATTGTTGCAAGAAAATTCGGTGAGTAATATTTAATATACCATATCATGTGAAGTTAGACCACCATTGAAAACCTGGAAGCACTGGACAGTCATTTTATCCTAGTATGGGACCCCTTAGCAGTGCGAATCTACGATCCCGCCTCGTGAGATTCGAAAACTAAGACCTATCAGTCTCCCATGCGAGCGCTTAACAATTAGACCATAATATCCACAAAACTCCTGATATTGATTAATATTAGTTAAGGTACGATTTGAAATTATAAAGCGTTATGTGCATGATTCATCCTAATATACGACCCTTCAACAGTCGAAACCCAGGATCCTACTAAAAATAGAATCTACGACGTTCACGTTACAGGACTGTTATTACATTTAAGGAAGTAATTTCCTTATCATTATTTAAATATATTTAGTATTGAAAAATTAATTTAACTATTTAATTCTGGTTAGTAATTATAGTCGGCAAAATCATAGTCTAAACTTATAAAAAATAATAAACGAACTCCACTGTAATCAGAACCGTAATTTTAAGAGTTGAGTTCATGAGTCAATTAAAGCTAGACCACCATTTAAAACCTGGAGGCACTGGACGGCCGTTTCATCCTAGTATGGAACTTCTCAGCAGTAGTGCGCATCCACGAACCCAACTGCAGCACCCGAAACGAGGACCTTCGGTCTCGAGTGGTATTTCCTAGAGTTTAAATGAGCTGTAACTAGTGGAGTTCAAACATGCCTTTTGTGAGATAGTAACTCACTGAAGACAACGGTGGACGATCACGGAATATGGTGGACTGGCTGAAGTTAAACATTAACACCGTTGGACGCCTGCTCAGTTGTCCACAGGTCAAGCGTTCACGGTTCTAGGTTCAAGTCCCGCATGGGGAATTGTGGATCCGCGCTGCTGAAGAGCCCTATACTAGGGCGAAATGGCTGTCTAGTGATTTCAGATTTTACATTATGGTCAAGCTTCAATCGACTCATGGATTCAACTATTAAATTACTATGATCTCCACATAACACCCTTTCTGATAATAAGACGAATTAACAATGCATGCATGAAGTCAATGTTCATATCAAAAAACAGTTAGAAAAGAGCGTTTTTTTCTGTGAACAATGAAAGCTCCACAACCAAACCATCCAGCTCAAAGAACAAAACTTCATCAAAATTATCTGTCAGAGCTCCACCTTTAAATCTATCTTTTAAATATCAATTCTACTGATGATTTGAAATTATTAGGATGAAGTACATAGATTTAGCAACTTCTCTTAGAGCCTCTCTCGGGCTACTGCCGGTCTCAAGCCTGGATAAAAGGAGTTTTAGCAATGAGTTTATCTCCTAAACATTTTGCTTCAATTTTAAGAGTTAAGCTTTTAGTGTGGCGTCGAGTCGCGTTTGACTATGTACATCACTACAAGGAGGTTGCGTACCAGAAATTAGAAGGTGGTTTCAGGTTGTAACGAGATATATTCGTTGGCGATATCGTGGTATCGAAAGAATACCAAGATGGTGCCAAAGAAATACAAGTGGAATCAGTGGGCGAACGTAAGAGCGTACAAGGTCACAATCCACGGAAGGATAATGAAAGAATAATGGATGTTTTTAGTACAGTAAAACAATCACTGGTACAATTAGTTATAATAATAATAATTGTTTCCATTAAAGCAATCGCGTTTTCTTGATAAAAGTAGGTCACTACAAGCTGTTGAATGATCACATTTACTTTACCGTCTAAATTCTATATGCTTAAAATTAATTAGTAAAAGGGTTTTTGTACTGAAATTTCATACTTATGTAATCAAAACATTCACCAAGGGAAATCTTTACTGTTTATAATTGTATTTGTTCACATTTAAGTCAATCATTGAATAATAATAATCCAATTTATACTTCATTACTTTACATATGATAGACTTTTACCTATTAGAAGATACGACGTCATTAACCAAACTGATTAAGGAAAATTAAAGTTGTATAGTGTTTAACCAATGTGCTTTTTTGAAAATGCCTGGGAACATTAATGCTGAACAAGGATAGTTGGTGGTTAGCAGTAGAATCCAATTTGATGTGCGTTTCGTTCTATTTGCGACTCGTCAGATGGATGTACCTTCATCTTAGAGTTGATGTTCACTCCAGCAGTCGAATCCAGTATTATTCACTTCAAATGATATCATGTTATCCACTTAGATACTGAGTCCTAGTAGCCACTTGCTTGTGCATTAGGGTAAAGTTTAAATTCACTTGGTATTAGTTGCTAACCACTATCCATCTTTGCTTATAATACTTGTGATTTAAGACAATATCGAGGCGATCCGCACAGGATACACATATGTCCATAAGAGATTGAACAATTTTAATCCTAAACAACAATCAGAAGATATAAAAACAAACAATACCAAGTGAATTTATCATTCATGTTATCTAAATATTCTTCAAGTAAACACAGATTACTTACTTACTTACGCCTGTTACTCCTAATGGGGCATAGGCCGCCGACCAGCATTCTCCAACCCCACTCTGTTCTGGGCCTTCCTTTCTAGTTTTATCCAATTATTGTTCATTCTTCTCATGTATGTCTCCTTTTCTCACTGAAATGTGTTCTTTGGTCTTCCTCTCTTCATTTGGCCTTGAGGATTCCATGCGAGGGCTTGTCTTGTGACGTAGTTGGGTGCTTTTCTCAATGTGTGTCCTATCCACTTCCAGCGCTTCTTCCTGATTTCTTCCTCCGCTGGGATCTGGTTAAGTAAACACAGATGATTCTTTATAATTCACAAAATCGTTCAATAACTGACTAGAAAGAATGATTATACACCACTGTTATTTAGATCAGTTAACATCTTCATAGTAAGAAAACAATAATTCATTACTTAACTATTAACAATCATTGAAGACCATTCATTGAAATATGACATATAGCTAATTAACTCAATAGATACTATTTGGTAACAAACAGATGGATATTTAAATGATTAAAATTACATCCAGATAAGAACATTTAATGACTTTACTTTCTATACTGACAATATTTTAATTAAGAATGATACCAATCTAATTCAAGGGATATATTAGATTGGTAAATATCTTACTTCTTGTTATTTAATCATTATAAATGGTATGTTTATTGAAATATCTGATTGATTTGTTATAAATGATCATGTCAATTTGTGGGGCCTTTTACTTTGACATCACAATTAAGTCAGATGATGTTATTGACGAACTGATTACTTTGGTGGTCACCAATGAAAGCGTATGACTGTTATTGAAGTACATATGTCGTCTGTTCGCATATATAATTATCGCCTCAACTCGTGTTAGTGAATAACGGAATTAAATAAGTCAAATACAAGAATGGATATTTGAATATATGTATGCTGTACACTCATTAATTTGAACGGACTATCAGAGAAATAAAGCGAAATGATGCGCTGTGGAGAAGGCGTGTGAGCCAACTCTGAACTAATCAAGCGTTAATCAATATTTTTATCCAGATAAGAATAGGTTACAGACATATGATGAATAGGATAAGAGGTGTACCTACACATACGCTCATATAAAAACAGTCAAGGTTGATTAGTGAATAATTAACAATGTGAAAACATGACTCTAGGAGAATGGATAAGTTGACCTTTCCTGAAGCCAGAATAAGTTAAATGGGCTTCACATAGTAACCGACATCATAAATATTAATAACAGGAAAACCGATTCATCTATTCAAAACTATACGATTCTAATCGATATTTTACATGAAACTAGTCAGTTATTTGTAAAATACACCAAAATAAATTTTATTATCCTTCTAAAATTCATCAATGTAATCTGATCCTTTAGTTTAGATCGAACTGTGAAGGTTTAATTCATTCTGAAATATTTATTTTATCTATTTATTTTAACACACAGATATTGGTACAAGGAGGTACCAAATAGATATGAGCCACACAAATCATTCATTCGATTTATGTGAAGGCTATGATACTGGCTGGGTGCCCAAACTGAAACAGGTGGTTTTCTTAGGGAGCCACACACAAAGACTTCGACCTGAAGGTCTGATCCATAAAGCAATGGAGCAACGTCAGGAAATACAGTCCCACGATAATCGGTGACCAATGACAGGTTTATACGCCATTTTTTCCCATAGGATACTAGAGACCATGTGGAGCATTGGTTTGGAATCAGAGTTTTCCATCTCCCTTAGTTAGATCCTCAATATCTACAAATTTGGTTGCAGCGCCGTTCATTCTCTTCTCGTCCTCTCAATTTCGTAAACAACAGTAATATCAAAAAATGGCAGTAAGTAGGACTTCCCTGGAAGTGGTTGTATGAAAGTGGACATGTGAGTGTTTCTCGAGGGAGATCCGACTCTCTTCACTCTCGGACGTACCAGGGCATTTAGGTGATTACATTACTCTGAACTAAATTAATTCGAATTTAGTGACAGTACAAGTATCATTTTATGTTTGGTTAATAATAATTCAATATTCTTTTAAAGTATAAGCACATCTTTTTTAATCCAACACTTTTTCCAATTTTTTTTTCTTTACATTAGTTGGAAACCAATCACCATTACTGTATGTGTTGTTATCGCTGTGTTAATTCTGATTTGGATATTAAGTTGTGTATTTGGATTGTGTAAATGTCTTGTTAATTGTCTTTGTTGTTGTTGTAAGAAAAACTGATAGAAAAGTGCCTATTACCTTCTTTTATTTTTGAAATAATAATAAAAAAACATTTCGATATTTTTCTCTCAGAAATCTACATGTAACCGTCGTTTGCTACTTATTAAAGTAAATCAGTAGTATAATTTTGTAAATATTATTTCGTCAAGATATCAAATAAATAACATTTTCGTAAGTGCAATTACTTTTCGAATTTATTACATATTTTTTATGTTATTTCATTAACTATGCATCCACCCTTACTTGTGTATTACGGTTAGTCAGTCTTTGAATATATGTGTTCACATACATCAATTGGTAGTAGACTGGGACGAGGGGTAACTGTTTTTAATCTTCCGTGAAACTTGTCTTTTTGATAATAATAACCATGGATCTATAGTATATTTTGTGCTGTTTCGTCTAATCCCTTCATCAGCATCCTGCTAGGCACATCATCTTTGAAATAACAATGTATAAATAGAGATTCCTTGACCACAGCTTAAGCATCTATTCTGATTTTCGTTTACAAACCTTCCATTTTCGGTGACAGCAGGCGAAGCATCTAACTTTTCACAGATTATTTCATTAAAGTACTTGATTACTATTCTTTTACTAGGTGTTTTGATCAGGTTTATTCTGTACTGTAAAGGTGCAGAGTTGAGGAAATGGGAATATAGACCTCTTGAAGTGCTTGATTTAATTCCTTCTTACTGGTCTACATACTTGTTTTATTAGCAGAACATCTAAAAAGACTGCTGTAGTTGGAAATTACTCTTCTCTTATGAATTTTGATGGCAGGACTTACTTTGTCGAATTTACTGAAGAACCTCTAATTGTTCGGTAATACATTTACAAAGGATGAATGTAACATCTGCTTACTATTAGTAAAATGTAAACTTTGAAATGAGCTGTTTCGGTAGAGCAGTTTCAAGCGATAACGCTATCTTAAACTAAAAACATATTCATGAGTGACTATTAAACACCATTCACATTAGACCCTTTAGTTTGAAAGTTGAGATCAATTTACAATGGGATACTGAAAAGATGGTTTAATAGTTACTATTCTTTTGTTCAGGAATACGGTTCTTATTGAAAGATAAAAACATATCTTCCTAGGATTTTTCAAGTGTACACAGCTGAGGAACTTAAAACCATGACCACATTGCTGAAGGGAATAAATACCAACAAGTATGAGATACATGAAATAATAGAATGACGATCTTCAGTAGTAAATATACCAAGTAAGCATGTGTAAGATCATTTGAAAAGTATTTGTAATTAGTAATCTCAGAAGTCGGATAGAATAAAGCACAATCTACCTTAAATCCTACAGTGCTAATCACTTTTCTACATACTAAGGCGAATTATGCGATAGCGGGCACTACAGCTGTAGTAAATAGCCTTGCTTAGTTATTTGCAGCACAAAAGTCGATAGCTTTAATTCTGTTAAGAACGGATTTTGGCATTATGAAATGCAGAATGGCACTTGGAACTATGTAGCGATATGCTAATTTATGAAATCAACTTTAAATCTCTTTATTCGCCCAAGTGAACTTAAACACATTACTGCACTCAGCTGGTTTTAAAATCAAAACATAAATATATTTCAAGGCAAATTGTAAGTAACAAAATATCAGTGTGTATACAAGGTTTACATAAGAATATTCTCAAGATTCCCCAGCTCATTCGCTAGCGATGATTGTTTGAAAATGAATCAATCAATCCAACGTGCTGTTGTGTTGGGCAAGTTGTGATTAAGTTTCTGTTCTTCATATATTAGCACTCAGATATGTACAACTGTCCATGGGAAACAATGATACAACCCAATTGTCTACACTAAATTAAGGAAGGGGTCACGCCTACAAGAATGTTGGGAAGCCAAGTTTTTTTTCTGTTTAAGGTCTATAGTCCACCTCAAGATCTGTAGACGGTAAAGAAAAACTGCTTAAAAAACTTTTGAACCAATCGTTATCCTTGAGAACTTCTTAGAAATTAAGTAGGTTATGTGTTCTCTGTAACCTGAACGGTTACATATCTAAACTGTCATTAACATAAATATCTGGAACTTCAAATTTAAGGTAACCGGTGATTAAATACCCGCTGATTTCTGTAACTAAACTAAGCTGAAAATTTAGTCTTCTGTCATATTTCTGTTTGGCCATTCGGTTTAACAATTTCGTGCATTATGGGAACCCGAAAATCACCTTTAAAAAAATTTCCAGCTAAAGAAAATCCTTATCAACGTGCCTAACAACAACATTCCCCCCCCCCAAAAAAAGACAAAACAATAACTTCATCATTTACACAACTAATCATGATCCAGTTATATTGAATAATTTACAAATCATATGGGTTCTCTCATATAAGAGAACACACATGACAAGTGAAAAAAAGAGGATGGAGAGAAAAACGCGAAAAGATGAAATTAAATAATTCCCTTAAATATATTAGACATTTTATATTTTGTCTTTAATTTCTTCTCTTTATATGATTCATCATTTAATAATGAAACAGTATTTTCAAATGATGGTAACTTGTCAACTTGTCCAAAACCGACTAATGTTGGTTTGCATCGATAAATCATACGATGAAGAAGTTCATGAAGATCATTTTCAGTTACTTTCTCTAATAAATAAATAAGCAACAATATTAATCATTAAGTAAAGAATAAAATCGTTATATTCCACAAGGGATTTATGGAAATTATTTTCATGTTTAGCGACATATTACTATAGTATGATAATAAGACAGACAGGCGATTACTAATGGACCGGATACACAATCGTTATCCTATACACAGACTAGATCACGATTCAAGATGAAATATAGAAAACCCAAGTAAATGAAAGACAGTAATTTTACCTCACAGAACTAATTACAAGCAAACAGAATCAATGAGTCCAAAACGAAGTGACTATTATATCACGCTCTTTTTATTTATTTATTTAAACACAAAAATCATTCATTCGATTTATGTGAGGACTGCAATAATGCTCGGGTGCCCAAATCGAAGCACGTGGTTTTCTTAGGGAGCCACACCCGAAAACTTCGACCTACAGGTCTATTCCACAAAGCAGTGGAGCAACGTCAGGAGATACAGTCCCATGGTAGCCGATAACCAACGATTGGTTCATACGCCATTTGTTTCCTCAGGAGCCCATTTTCACCACTGGTTTGGAATCAAGGTTTTCCAACTCATCTAGGTGAACTCTCCGTGTCCACCAACCCGCTTTGCGTCCCCTCAATTTCGTAAACAACAGTAATGCCGTGAGAAGGCAGTGAGTAGGACCTCCCTGACAGTGGTTATATGCACGTGGCCAGGTGAGAGCATTTCTCGAGGGAGAGCTGACTTCCCCTACCCTCCGCCATACCAGGGCATTTGAGGGCTCAGTGAATAATCACATCAGAATTTCACTAGTCACACATCAATATAAATATACATATATGTAATTTCCCTAACTAAATTATCAAACCTCATGTAACCGGTATTAACCAGTCAAGTCTATTTTATGGTACCTTGTTTGAATCACCGGAATAACGCACCTAAGGTCTACCCAAAGTAAAAAAACTGCCGTAATTTCTCAGATTACATATACTTAAAATTATCATTGGTTTTACAGGTAAAAAGTGCATCAACCAATAAGTTAACAGTCAGTTTAGGATCAATTAAAGTAAAAGAACAGCGTACGACAAAAAAACTAGTTACTCACGAGTAATACAACATACTAATACACAAATTTCAATACTACCAGGCTGTTGAAACACAGATATATAGAGCAATTTTTAAATCAGTAAGTTAATGCGTTAAAATATCAAGTTCTCTACCTGTTGAACTACGATTCCGCATATTCATTATGGCTTAATGATTAAAACATAGGATTTAACCTATTTCGATTCGAATATCTAAGTTGTATATGGATAATGTTTAATTAAAAGGAGAATGTGACACAATAGTGCATAACATGAAACTATATATGGTTGATCAGTTGAATAAAATATATGTATTCATCACAGGTTGGTTTTAGTTAGGACACCGTTGATAACCAAGGAGCATTAGACAACTGTTTAATCCTAGTACGTGAGCCGTTCGCCGTGTGCACCAAAAAACCAGACAAGAATAAAAACCATGACCTTCAGTTTTCACAGCGAATGCAAATCAATTAGGACTAGAATCCGTGTCCAGTAATGTGATTTCAGCTCCAATCAATTTGTGACTTCGTCATTTACTACCCATTATATTATACCGATAGATTTGTTTCATGTAGACTACACACTATAAGACTAATAATTGAAATCAGCAAATTGTTTGTCAGTGTCCATGGTCTGTCCAATAAATAAAGGAAATGACTTACTGGGATTGTTTGGTGCAATTTGTGGAAAACCTATGGAGAACTAAAGAAGTTAATGAGATACGTTGGATCAATTGGAAGAATTTATCTATGTTCACTTAATGTCCCGCATAGAATAAATGACCAAATATGTACCTATTAATCAACTTTGCTTAGCTTTTTGGTGAATCAAAGAGAAGAGTGCTCGGAACTACATAACAAAGTTACTTAATTGTATGTATTCAATAAAACGCGCTTTACATGAGCAGTTGAATTGGTCAATATACATAGATGAAACAAATTGAGAAAGTCCATCTTCATTTTTGGCTGTGACTATAGAAGGACTGTAAAAGAGGCAACATAACTTAGTTGTAGCAAACGCCTTTTGTGGAGTTTTACTTATTCTTGTGTTGTAAATTCACAAGTACCTTCCTAGTTGTGAACGATATCTGAAGGATATCTGATTTCCAGGAATTATTATCGTTTTCGGTTGAATCATATGTCTGTTTATAAAGTCCATAAAGTTTCACTTAAGTAATTTCGGGATGGTTATTATTCAGCTTTACTTGAATTTTCTCATTAGAACAAAGTAACTTGATACAATGTATTACGCTTTGACATTTGACAAGTTGTTATAACAAAACTACGGTCATACGATTCACTATGCCTAAGTTTATTGCCAGCCGATTTCTTACAGTATTCCTTATTCATAGCCACTTTTGGTTTGTTCGTGTATCAGTGTTATCGTTTATTTATGTACGTATATACGTAAATAGACCGCGTGTTTGAAATATAAATATCGTGGACGCTGGGCTCAAGCCATGGCGCAGAGAAAAGCTGTTGAAGAACAGACTGGTAGGACCATAATTGTCGACTCAAAATCAGTAGTGGTGGTCGGGCGTGTAATTTGTCTATTTGGGGACACTAAGCTACCGAGGAAATAGTAGATGCGAAATGGACAATATTAGAATTAGAATTCTGTTTGTTGACTTGGCACGTGTCAGTCATCTCAAGATATAACAGGTACAGAACTGCGAAAATGAGTAGACTGATTAAATGATGCTCATTTTCTATATGTACTTTTTAATGCCGCGTTTAATCTCTCCATTAACGAGACATCTGAAAATGAAATGGTACCATCAATTTCTTCATTTAGTGTGAGTGTGAGTAATGGATTGATGCTGTACAATTTCTCAAGTACACTATACTTTTCATCAGTAAGGCAGTCAGTCAGCAACAACGTAGAACTTCGTACGTACGTACATCAGTTCGAGTTGCCATACCATATTAGCACACAAATACAATTGTCAATTCAAGTCCCGTAGTGGTAGAGGTAGTAAAAGTATAAGCAGTAATCGGAAACATTAGGGTTTGAAGATGTTATTGAAAAAGTATAATCCAGTGAAATAAAATTGGGAACGGAAAAAAGAGACAAGGAGAAATCAGGAGATTAGAATTTGGGAGAACACAAAGAGTGGATGCACCTGCGCCATTGCAAACGATTTTGAGCCATGTCATTCAGGGTCTCCAACCATCGGTTGCTATCGTCCAAACCGTAGCTGCTACCTTGACGTGATGGTCGGGCTTGCCTATCGTGATGATCCAATGAGTTATATTGGCTGAAACATATTTTCCTGTAGGTTCTACCATGCCAGGCAGGTCGATTGGAGAACGGTAAGACTAAAAACAGCAACTCAAGGTCTGAGGTTGAAGTCGTACTGCTCACTGTAAAGAGGTGTGACAGCAGTAAGGTGTTTCCCTCGGGCAACCAGCACCTGCAGCGACGCCGCCTTCTCACAAGGATGGGAGGGGTTAGAAAATGTCGACCCTAAAAATGTCACACCTCACCTTACCTCACGGGTTTCCGTCTCCAGCGGTAAGGTTCTTTGAAGAACAGAGCTAACACGTTAAAAGCCTCCCACAAAAAGGCCGTGTGCAACCGACATCAAGCAGGTATCCTGTGAGCTCTGAGGTCACTCTCCCAGGTCGTTGAGACCAACGCTAATCCAACTTCCTTTTCACGTTTTCAAGAAATAACTTTCCACGGTGTGGGCAACTGGGAAGTGATATCAGCCCTCATACCCGGTAACAGCACAGGAGATCAAGTTGGTCACAATCAAATCCTTCATCAGCAAGTAATATGAAAGTGTTATTTATGTAACAAAGAAAAAATACCAGTTGTTTGATTTCACATTTAAATGAGCCATTTTCTAGTTCTGATGGAAATGTTCTAAGAAGAGTTTAGTCAATAGTGATCCCATAAGAACACTATCCCATTGTTTGTGAAATTCGTCAATGAATTGAAAATGAACGTTCTTTGTGCATCTGAAACCTAACTGTCTTGATATAGAGACAGGATATCCATTTTTTACGTTCATTTTAATAAGTTTATTGTCTCTAGAAAGGGAACACTGCTGAACAAAGATATCATGAAACTAGTCTTAATTAATGAAAGTACTTTACATCATGTTTGACGATTTTTTTGTTGTTTAATGGTTTCGGAATTTGAATTAGTCATTTTACCGTAGAGTGATAAACAGAATTAGTCAAATATAAGATTTGTTGAAGGAAAAAGCTGTTTTTAGGAATTTTAAAAAGACTAAACAGTTTTGGTGCTATTGTTCCTTTGAAGACAGACTTCCGGACTCACCGCATCTGTGAATAATTAATAGTTAAAGAGTAATTGAATGATGATTACGGAGATAAAGGAATGATGAAAATAGTTCAACTTTAATGGATCAAACATTTTAGTAAAATTTGTGCGGACTCTAAAAATAACATGATAATACAAGATGACCTTGTACTACGATGAAAACAACGAAGAAGTATGGCATCCTGTTGATTTCGAAAGCTAACTGACTAATTAGATGACGGCTGATGACTATTTTGGTTAAACCATCCTATTGCAAATTTTAAATTTGGGACTGGAAGAATTGGGCGCAAACACGTAAAATGAAAAGGCGATTTAAGAACCTAACTTCTGAGGACTCATAAGGATGTTTTCAACGAAAAACAACCAGATTTACACAAAGTTTTTGATTGTAAAAGAGACAGATGTCATAACTTTGTAGTCTGAAGGTGATTGATACTGAACTATAGACTAGCATCAGTACTAATGATCGATTATGGATAAGGTAAGTAAAAGAAAACGCAATTGCTGTTAATAATTTTAAAAACGGAATACGATTTACCTATTTGATCAACCCAATAGTCTGGTTCACGTTTCACATCAGATGTAAGCACCTGACGAGCAATATCTTCAAAACTAACAGCACGAGTTTCTAAATTCATTAGAAGCATAGATTTCAACTGATGTTTAGCTCTCGACAACTCTTCATGTGATATTGAAGATGATATAGTATGGTGCAATTCATTAATCAAAGTATAAACTAAACGATCTAGATAAGTTGGAAATGAACTGCCAATAATAGTAAATAATCCTGTATCAGAATAAGCATGATTTTCAGCCTGTGCTGAGTTTACCCAATGATGTCTACAAGATATAAAACAGGAAAAACATGGACTATGTAGTGATATCTAAACTAATTAAGAAGCAGATAACAAAATTATGATAATTTGAGTAATTATATGGCAGAAAACAGGAAATCTACCAGAAAAATCTTACATTAGTAAATGCACGCACGTAGCTTAGTCATTAGCTACCACTTGATCAACAGTTTATTCTATTTATTTGAACACATAAATATTGGTACAAGAGAGCGCTAAACAAAACAATGAGAATTCGAAGAGAAATAGAAGAAAAAAAACCTAAGGAGCGCAAAAAAAGAGAACAATAACGAAGAGGTTGGTGTAAGGTAGTGTAGTAATAATAATAGTAATAATGAGGGAACTGAAAGGTACAATCATAAGAATTCTTTCAGTTAAGGGAGACACAACCACTTTTTATGAAGAAAGTAAAAGAAGGTTACAGCAGGATCGCCACTGGCTTCTATTCTGAGCCATATCTGATAACGTCTCTAGCCACTGTGTAGCACCATCTTTCAGACCCCAACCAGGGAGTCGTCAAGGACCAACACAAGCCAGTCCTTTGCAGCTTTCTTTCATACCACGACACCATGACATACAATGACCAACTCTCCGCTTTCTCCAACCAGTCCCAGAGTCGGCAAATAATGCACGACGTGGAATTCTCTGGGACGACATTCGGAGAACATGTCCAAGCCACCGAAGTCGTTGTTTCAAAATGGTGACACCAATTGCATTATCGTCTCTGTGCCCGAACACACGATGCCGAACCTCTGCATTACTAACATGGTGTTGCCACTGGATGTCAGCAATCCTTCGGAGACAACGATGATCGAACACAGAAAGTCGTCTAACGTCCTCAACTCGGAGAGGCCAGGTTTCACAAGCATAGAGCAAAACTGCTCTCACCGACGCGTTGTAGATCCGACCTTTTACAGCCAGACTAACATCACGAAGGCGCCAAAGGTGGCCCAGATTGCCATAAGCCGCTCTGGCTTTCACTATACGTGCATTGATCTCATCACTTATACCCCCACCAGCACTCATACAACTACCCAGATACACGAACTTCTCGACTACGTCTATCTGCTCACCATCCAGAGTGAGTACAGGGTTAGAATCCTGTCAGTCTTGTAGAAGTACTTTGCACTTCGAAGATGCAAAGCACATACCATACCTACGGACACTGATTGCCAACTGATTAGGTGCGAATTGCATGCCTTGGGCATTATCACACAGTAAGACAATATCGTCCGCATACTCAAGGTCGAGAAGTCTTTCTCCAGGCAACAGATCCACACCACCATTACTTACATTCATCAGAGCTGTTTCCAGAATGTCATCGATGGTAAAGTTGAAGAGGAATGGTGAGACTGGGGAACCCTGCCTAACCCCACTACTCGAATGGAACAATGGAGAGAGGTGGTTGTATTCTCTCACTCTGCTTGAGGTGTTTTTATATAGGGCTTTCAGGATGTTAATAAACTTCTCAGGCACACCCTTCTTCAATAGACAATCCCAGAGAACAGTCCTGTCCAACGAATCGAAGGCAGCCCTGATGTCAAGAAACACTACGATTGTTGGCCTTCGATAAGTATGGCGATGTTCTAACATTTGGCGGAGGGTGAAGATATGATCAATACATCCTCGACCAGAACGAAACCCAGCCTGCTCCTCGCGAGTCAATCTTTCTCGGGTTTTGAACAACCTACGAAGTATGACGGAAGCCAATAGCTTGGACGCAATCGGATGTAGACTTATCTCCCGATAGTTGTTGCAGGAACGACGTGAACCCTTTTTAAAGATAGGGACAACTATCGACTCATTCCATGACGTTGGTACACTCTCTCTAATTCCCAAACCTTTGTAAACAACGTCGTCAATTCCTTAGTCAAAAAGTCACCACCATCTTTAAAAAGAGCCGGAGGTAAGTCATCTGGGCCAGGTGATTTGTAACGCTTCAAGAGTTTGAGTTCCTTGCGGACTTCCTCCTCGTTTGGTGGATCAGTCATGGAGGGCAGGACAGTCTGACCGATGTTGCCGGAGCAGCAGGCCAGTTGAACTGTCCTTCGAAAAATTCTGCCCATCGTCCAAGACGTCGATGGATGTTAGTGATTGGCAACCCATCATCCTCGCAGATTGTTTCGCTCACACCAGACGTCTTGCTGCCGGTGGCTCGGATGAGTTGGAAGAGCTTCCGGTAATTACCAGTTGCAGCTGTTGCTACCAGCTCAGTAGCACGCTCCGACCACCAGGCTTTTCGGTCCTTACGCAAGCTTTGCCCAATTTCCTTTCGTAACAACCTTCGTCTATGGTCAAACTCACGGTCACCCGGAGTAGACCGACGGACTTCAATGAGTTGTAAGGAACCAGAAGAAACCCAGTGCTTGTAAGCGGAACGTTTCGCGAGCCCACAACTGACAGTACCCGCCATTTTCATGTCGTCATGCAATTGCAACCAATGCTCATTTATACATTTCAGTGGAATGGTAGCTAGCCTAGAAACTAGCTCGGTTCGATACTTACTAGCAACAGAAGTTGCAACCAGCTTGCTAACATCAATCCTTTGGTGGCGATCACTTCGTTGGCCACTGAAAAGTAAGGTAAGATTGGCGCAGACCAAGGCATGATCAGAGTCCAGATAGGTACTCCAAAAGGAGCGGCAGTCTTTTACACAACCACGCCAGCGGTAGCTGATCGCGATGTGATCAATCTGAGTCCAGGCTTGAGATGCAGAGGGAGGACGCCAGGTGGCACATCGGCGATGACTGTGCCGAAAGTTAGTGCTAGCCAGAAACAGGTTGTGGTCTGTGCAAAGTTGCAGTAGACGGTCCCCGTTATCTGACCTGCGACCAACGAGTCCCCATCGGCCACCTAAACGACTCTCTTCTGTGCCTAGACACCCGACCTGAGCATTCAAGTCTCCGGCTAGTACTACAATATTTGTCGAACGCACTTTCTAGAGAAGAACAGTTAACTGGTGGTAAAACTCATCCTTGATTGCATCCGGGCTGCAATCTGTCGGGGCATAGGCGGAGATGACGAAAAGACATTGTTTTTCACGCCGATTTCTTCTCACTTTGATGGAACTTTCTAATCTAACAGCACATAACCGACTGTTAATGGGGATCCAATCGATTAGTGCTGCCTCAGCTCTAGCGCTTAGTGAGACACCAACGCCAGCAAGACCATACGAAGATGCCACAAGGTCCCCGGATAAGCGCACGTAGAACAAGCTTTTCGAAGCGACAGATGGAGAGCGAATTTGTAGTACTTCACCAGTCTTGAATACGGGTCTCGGATAGACAGCAGACATCGATATTAAGACTTTCCAAAGACATAGCCAGCCCTATCTGTTGTGCGACCTGGATAAGTGTGCGAACGTTGAAGGCAGCCAGTTTGAATGGTGCACGTGGTTTCAGAAAAACTGCTTCAGTACTCATATTCAGTGGTAACATACAATTTTCAACTGGACAGTGACTCGAGAACGTTTAGATACAGTCGAATTTCCACCAAAGACGAGCCGCTGTATAAGTATAAAAGAGGGTGAATAATGTGGAAAATAATAATAATAATAATAATAATAATAATAATAATAATAATAATAATAATAATAATAATCATTTGAATCATTTGATTGTTATTCGAAGCGAGAAAGGTAGTTTCCATGGATATAGAGAGTTCATCATTTGCGTGTGAGCTGCGACACTGACCGGGTGCCAAACCGAAGCAGGTGGTTATCTTAGGGGGCCACACCCCAAGCCTTTGAACTAAAGGCCTAACCCACAAGGCAGTGGAGCATCGTAAGGAGATGCAGTCCCATGGAAGCCGGTGACCAACGATTGGTTCATACGCCATTTGTTCCCGCAGGATACTGGAGCCCATGTGCACCATTGGTTTGGAATCCGGTTAAGGCGCCGGACATTCGCTTTTCGTCCTCTCAATTTCGTAAACAACACCCCCGCCACGAGAAGGCAGTGAGTAGGACTTCCCTGGCAGAGGCTGTTTACGCGTGGCCGTGTGAGAGTATTTCGAGAGGGAGAGTGGACTCTCCCCACTCTCGGCCGTACCAGGGCACTTGGGGGCAGTATGTAAGAATTATTGCTAATAGTACACTAGACATTTCTGATTTGTTCTTAGAGAACTGGAATGATTATATATCCATACAAGTATTGTGAAATTCATGTTTCATGACCATATTACTTGTTAGTAATCACAGTTCATCCCCCTTTTCTTGTATCTCAATGGTTAAATAAGTTATCGACAAACAGGCTTATTGGTTGAAACGTATTTTAAATGGATAGCCATTTTTAACCCACCGTTTTTTACGTTTGACTGGTCTATGATTGAGTGTTGCTGTGATCTTATTACGTTGAATGTGAGCTCAAATTGAACTAATTATGATTTTTATATATCTTTCATATACACTCACATAAAAATATTCCTAAGTAACCAAGACATTCTTTCTGACACAAGTAGACCTCGGGTGCATTATTCAAGTGAATTCAACCGTTATTCCAGTGAATCTGATATGTACAGTCAAGTTTGAAATATACCATGGATTTGAGAATTTAATTGTACCATCCCTTTCTATTGTAAAAGTGAGGTTAGACGCAGGGTATTAGGAAAGGATGGTAAATCAGTTGATGAGGTTATGAATCTTCATCGACTGAGATGGTTGGGCCACGTGTTACGTATGCCTGAACACCGATTACCACGACACGCAATGCTATCCGGTATTGGAAATGGTTGGAAGAAAGTTAGGGGTGGCCAAACCAAAACGTGTCATCAGTGCTTGAAGTCACTAACTTCTAGTCTGAGCCATGTTGGTAGATGCAGACTACTTGGTTGGGGTCCGCGTGATTATCGTAATCAATGGTTGGAGACTCTTGGTGACATGGTTCAGAATTGATCACAATGGCGTCGGTGTATACACTCTCTGTTTTCCCTTAAACTAAGAGAATAAAATTGCTTTATATCTTTCTTTCTACGAACTAATTCTTTCTTCCTGCAATATAACCTTATATGCAATCTTCCTTTTATATATTACCATCATTGAATTAACTACTTCTATGAATCCGGTGTTCTTCTCGCTGTGCTAATCCGGTATGGCAACTTGTACCGATGCATATATGTGCCTGGTCCTACGTTGTAGCTGACTGACTGAGCGTCACTGACAACGAGCTTATTAACACCTATTATCTTGATAAGTCTAGATAGCCAATTATTATTACCCGTTTTCAATGACGTTTTCATCTCTCTTGCTCTTGTTGCCCACAAACAGCTCACGATCACTGAGTAGAGTTTCGATTAGTCTATATTTTCTTGGCTTTTCATACTGTTCAGAGGCGAATGGGATGTTTTCGAGCATCTGTCAGTTAATTATACAGTGGTTTAAGTTACTGATAGATATTACCGTTACATTTAAAGCTATTTGGATATAACTTCAACCTACATTTGGGATAAATATCACCTTTATACTTGACTAAGAACCTATCTACTTGTTCCTGAAAGACACTATTGACAAATTAACCCTTCGCGCAGAATATTCAGGTTTAGCAGAGATTACAATGTATTAGGACTGTTGAGTCAGAATTAAATGGATCCACATTAGCAATTTCAACTAACTCGGAAAATTGTGCGAAGATTATTTAATGTTATCAATAATATCTATTTAGTTCTTAACATGAGTGAATGACATCTGACAAAATATTTGAATATTAACACATAACTAACTTACTTATTTAAAATATTTAGATATAGTCGAGTATACATACCCTTGCCAGGTCCACCAGCTGAAAAAGATCCACCTCCACCAAGTAATGAATGAAGTACACATGCTGGTACAAATTGTGGATCTGTATAACTGCATGATTCAAAACCGATGCCAACATGAGCATATTCAGGCATTGGTGCATGATATTGTGATAAATCACGTTCTAACTAATAATTGATTGATCGAGAAAAAAAGAGGAAAGTGTGATTGACAGAAAATATTTCACTTTTAAAATAAGTAAACAAACTTGGGATCGAATGTACAGTTTTGTATATTACAATTTTAAGGGAGAAAGATCATCTGGATAAACGAAATAACTATATTCATGAAATATACAATGTGACAACGATACAAATATTTGTATACTAGAAAGTTAAACATTAAGAGCATAGTTTGAACTTTCAGCTTACATTAAACAAGTGTTTGTTCAGACCAATAAACTGCACAATTATTTGTAAAAACAATTTACTATAACCAGAGTTATATCCCCAATAACTAATCACACCATCTAATGTAACACAGTATAATGTGAAATACCTAAGCTTTGAGTCACATAATTTGGCAGAAGTTAGTTATACTGTCTAATCACCGAATGAAAGTTGGATGTGGTGTGGTTCATTCAACACCTTATATACAAAATCGCGGCATACAGTTCAAGGCAAGTTACTCATCCGATTGATAAACTGATTCAGATTTAACTTAAACAATAAGGGTGAAATGGTTTCTGAACTAAACTTCTTTGCGAATTTTGGTAAGTGAAGCATATTTAACATATTACTGCAATATATTTCCCGTGATAAAAAGTATAACCTGTTACGACTAATGGATTTCGGTGAATCAGTGCAAATCCTTATGGATAACACTGAAAAACACTTTGAGTGATCAGTGATAAGAACTGCCTATTCGTAGCAAAGACGATGGGAAAAGGATTGAAACTGCGAGTGAAAGACTGACCGTCGATTATTTTAACCGATAAACCGTCGCTTCACGTAAAAAATATGTGTAGCTTGGCAATTTTAGCATCTGAATGTTACGCATCGGTTAACAAGTTAAGACTCAATACCACCTAATTCCACGAGTAGACACCGTACAGGAATAAATCAAAGCTCTGACAGTCCTTGTATTTTTTTCTGTTGCCGTGATAAATAAACAGAACAAACAAAACAAAACCTGAGGCCAATGAATCACAAACCCCGCTTCAAATCTCGCACCCAACAGGTTTTCTCACACAGCGTCAATAATCAGTCAGCCGAATCAAATAATGTATTCTGTCAACCTATTCTTCCTTATAAAGTTTACTTAGGTTTCTGATAATAAAGGATAATCCATTGATGGAAAATTAGTGCTTCTTAACAATAAGGATGAACATGTTTCTAGTACCGACTGCTTTGATTTATTTATTTATTTATTTCAACACATAGATATTTGTACAAAGAGGCACCAAATACATATGGTGATGCTACAACACTAGTGTTTCTAAAACCTAGGGTTCACATCACTCATCATCGCGATTCCTTCGGCGAATTCTAGCCTATCTGACCTGGGGGTGTCTAACAACCCTGTATATCTATCATTGTATAGAAACGATAGCTCACAATCCCGGCCCAATGGTTTATTTTTATTTTTATTTTTATTTCAACACATAGATATTTGTACAAAGAGGCACCAAATACATATGCGCCACACAAATCTCATTCGATATGTGTGAGGGCTGTGATACTGCCCAGGTGCCCAAACCGAAATAGGTGGTTTTCTTAGGGTGCCACACCCGGAGCCTTCGACCTGAGGGTCTGATCCACAAGGCAGTGGAGCATCGTAAGGAGATGCAGTCCCATGGAAGCCGGTGACCAACGATTGGTCCATACTCAGAAAATGCCCCCAAATGCCCTGGTACGGCCGAGAGTGGGGAGAGTCCGCTCTCCCTCTCGAAATACTCTCACACGGCCACGCGTAAACAGCCTCTGCCAGGGAAGTCCTACTCACTGCCTTCTCGTGGCGGGGGTGTTGTTTACGAAAATGAGAGGACGAAAAGCGAATGTTCGGCGCTTTAACCGGATTCCAAACCAATGGTGCACATGGGCTCCAGTATCCTGCGGGAACAAATGGCGAATGAACCAATTGTTGGTCACCGGCTTCCATGGGACTGCATCTCCTTACGATGCTCCACTGCCTTGTGGATCAGACCTTTGGGTCGAAGGCTCGGGGTGTGGCCCCCTAAGAAAACCACCTATTTCGGTTTGGGCACCCGGGCAGTATCACAGCCCTCACACATATCGGATGAGATTTGTGTGGCGCATATGTATTTGGTGCCTCTTTGTACCATTATCTATGTGTTGAAATAAATAAATAAATAACGCCATTTGTTCCCGCAAGATATTGGAGCCCATGTGCACCATTGATTTGGAATCCGGTTAAAGCGCCGGACATTCGCTTTTCGTCCTCTCATTTTCGTAAACAACACCCCCGCCACGAGAAGGCAGTGAGTAGGACTTCCCTGGCAGAGGCTATATACGCGTGACCATGTGAGAGCATTTCGAGAAAGAGAGCGGACTCTCCCCACTCTCGGCCGTACCAGGGCATTTGGGGGCCTGCTGTGAACACTAAATGTAAGCAACATCGTCTTAGATTCTACAGATAATCACATAAACAGAAATGTAATCCGAAATCTAAAGCATGTATAAAACAATACTTGCCTTATAATAACCACCGGTATATTCGGAGACAGTAGTGCTAAGTGAAGGCAGATCACTAGCCGCCTTTTCGTAAGATACATTAGGCACTGTTGGAATAAAGTATTTCTCTACAGACTTTACTAGTGCATCATGTTCAATTCCGACACCAGCTATCACCATTTTTTCTGGTCTACAATGTACGAATTAAAATAGAAAATGGTCAAAACTATTATTAAATAGTACCAATGGATGTGCAATACCAGAAAGGGTAAGAAAACACCATGGATATAAAAAACATGATGGAAATGATCAGTGATGAGAGAAACAATGAAATAAGTGTAATAAAAGGGATAATCTTGAATTTTACAGATAATACACTGTAATATGACTACTAACTACTTCTATTTTACGGGAAATAAGTTACATAATCTCCTGAACGTCCCTTACAGAGTTTTAAGAAGTCAAGAGTTATTTGTGTAATACAACTTACTTCCACTTAATAATATTATCTTATACACCGACCGCCAATTTATTTTCTCCGATCAGTTATATCAATGAAAATGATTTTAAATAATAAAGAAGCGACAATAACAGAGATTTTAAATACTCAATTTACTTTATGAAAGTGAACAGTCAATCAATCAGTCAGTAACAACGTAGAACTTCGTACGTACGTACATCAGTTCGAGGTGCCATACCACAGAACAAGTTATTTTTGCTTTATTGAAATAATGAAAGTCATATCTTAGTATCGTTTTAAGATGACTTAGTCTATTGATTAATTTTCACATGTATGCCAAGAACCAGTACAATGTAGAACGAAGAAAAATTAGAAGTGTGGTAAAAAAGAGGGAAACTATACTATAATAGCGAGAATGGGGTAGGAAAAGCTAATCAAACCCAACTACATTTCATGCCAAGATTTATCGTTGTGAGAGGACAGTTTTTTCTAGGTTTTCAATAAATCCTAACTGCAAAAACAGTGATTGGTATGAAAGCCACTTGGAATGCTATAAGTAAAATGCATAAGTCAGTGACGTTGCTTTTAGGATGGGTTTACTGATAAAACGGACAGTAATAGGTGGTGGTAAACTAGTGCATATTTTTGAAGCTTCGCTGACTAGTGTCACTAGCCACGACGTACTGCAATGGTATTATGGTAGTTGAAATGGTATTTTAGATAAAGCCTGATGATATTCAGTCTAATATATGAGATCAATCCTTAAGATTAGACTTATCAGGGTTCAGATGTGTAAACTTCCTGGTTGAAGTCTGTGCGACAAATACAATTGATGTTAATAGGTAAGGACTACCTGGTTGGGGATCCCGTGATTATCGTAACCAACGATTAGAGACTTTGAATGAAACAGCTCAAAATCGTTTGCAGTGGCGCAGTTGCATTCGCTTTGTCATTCTCTAAATTCTAAGCTCCTAAATTCCTTACAGCTCTTCCTTATTTTCATTTCACTAACTTATATGTTCCTATTGAGTCGTGTCTTCGATGCCTAATTTTTCCTATTACCACTGAATGAGTTACTACCTCTACTATTCTGGTATTTGGCCTGACCATTTTATCTCTCTGTGCTAATGGGGTATAGTAACTTGAAACAGCATACATACGTACCAGATTCTACGTTGTGACTGGACAACTAACAAGAATTGACGTCACTGAAGATTGGTCTTGAGAGAGTACATACACTGGTACTTTAACCGTCGATGCATCAATGTAAGGCAGTAATAAATATACGCTACAATAATGCTAACTACTACGAACGATCATATTGGGAAATCTAAAAAATCTAACGAATGTTTAATTTTCCACCCAACAACCTAACAAAAAAAGAAAGTGACTAGCATCAATAAAGCACTGCTGTCAGGAAAATATCGTCACACGTTTTTAAGCATGTACTATTCTAAAGGGTAACTTATAAAAACAAAGCTTAATATTTAAGATGATGTACTGATTTATACTTATTGAATTCAAAGAAAAAACAACCTACTTGAATTGAGTGGCAACAAATTTGATGATATCTTCGCGATTAATTTTATCTAAATTCTGTTTAGGACAATATTTTGGCAAGCCAAGTGTGTTATTTTTATAAGCAGTCACATGTAATAATTCATTCATAATTGGTTCAACTGGTGGTGATCTTTCCAAAGCTTCTAGTTCAAAGGAAATACTTTTAGCTGCCATTTCAATCTCTTCCTCAGTAAATTTTGCCCTAAGAACTGTTTCAGATAATATATGCGTAAGTTTATCCATATTTGTGTTGAAACCAGATACTGCATAGACTATGAAATCTCTATAAAAAGCATAACAAGCACAAAAATCCAGAGAAACAAACTAACACCAGTAAAATTACCTGCATATATATATAATATATATATATATATACTCGGGTTTGAGCGGCTCCTTCCTGAGTGAGAGCTAGTGACACTACTTGTATATCGAGATGGAAGAAACGTAGTAGGTTCAAATAAGGGACCTACCGGTTAAGAGATGCATACTTAGACTATCGTCTACTACTTAGATTATCGTCTTAATTTCTAAATGTCCACGCTTGTTATTCATGAGTTCTCTCCCACTCCTGTACCTAGTTTTGTGTTGGATTGTAATACGCTAACCTAACGGTCTACACTAGGTTGCGATTTCCAACCACTAATTCTATGTGTTCGAAAAGCCGATTGTGGAATTATTATCGTATGACTTAGAGAAGCAAATCGTTTAGCTTGTGTTAATGAAGCGTAGTTAACAGTGCGAATTTTCAGCTACTAAACATTTACCATGATCCAATTACACGCCAAATTGGTTTTAGATCGTAGTCTGACATTCTTGGATATTTTCAATGTTTCTTCTCTTCTAGTCAATGAGAACGGACAACAAAATTGATTAAGATATGCACTCGCCACATATTGTCGAAATGCAACAAAATGAATCTATATCATTGTTTTATGATCATTAACTGACGAATAAGGGGTGAATTTGTACGACTTGCACTGCTTAAACAAGTTAACGTTAGCGGACCTTTAGAAATCTACCCAAGAGGAGTGAAGGTAAGAGTAGCAATTCAAAGTTACGTATAAGGTTTTACCAATGGATTATGAGGACAGACTTATTAAAGTGCCTAAGTCGGTGTTTTTCATACCTTCATCCCAAAAGGACCATGCTAATTAAAGGATTAAGATCACAAAAAATTAACTACGTAAATGCTTCTAAGTAAACAACGACGTTTGGCTGGAAACAATGAAAGTTACACAACGTTTGCTTTCTTATGATTGCCAAAAAATCTATTCAAACCAGTCTGTCATCCCACTGATTTACTTGAAGGGTATGTAGAGGCAAAATGCTACCTAGGAAAGTAACTTTTCACGTTAAATATTACTCAAAGAAAAACAGAACGGTCGCAAGATTATATAATGAAGCCACAGTAAGAAGTAGAACAGTAAACAAAGACATTAATACCGACGTTGAAGAAACTAGTACTGAATGTGAGGAAAGATCATTTCTTTTCGTCGATATGATAGGTTACATCATCGCATCGTTGTATAAACACCTTGGATGGTACATATTATTGTAAGCAATGACCTCATAAGACCAGCTAATTGTGATGTAACAACTAAAGCCTGTGGCGTTTTTTAAGAGCCGTAATGAAGACACATTTCGAGTCTTATACTCGCCATACGTTAGGGGTCATGTATAATATGAGGTGTTAACAAGGAAATTAAACTATGTATAAGATGTCATATTTATTTATTTCAACACATAGATAATGGTACAAAGAGGCACCAAATACATATGCGCCACACAAATCTCATCCGATATGTGTGAGGGCTGTGATACTGCCCGGGTGCCCAAACCGAAGCAGGTAGTTTTCTTAGGGGGCCACACCCCGAGCCTCCAACCTAAAGGTCTGATCCACAAGGTAGTGGAGCATTGTAAGGAGATGCAGTCCCACGGAAGCCGGTGACCAAAAATTGGTTCATTCGCCATTTGTTCCCGCAGGATACTGGAGCCCATGTGCACCACTGGTTTGGTATCAGGCTAAAGCGCCGGACATTCGCTTTTCGTCCTCTCATTTTCGTAAACAACACCCCCGCCACGAGAAGACAATGAGTAGGACTTCCCTGGCAGAGGCTGTTTACGCGTGGCCGTGTGAGAGTATTTCGAGAGGGAGAGCGGACTCTCCCCACTCTCGGCCGTACCAGGGCATTTGGGGGCTATAAGATGTCATAACGACTTGATAATAAAGGTGAGGAATTGATCTGATACTACCGCTTCCACGATCATTCATAACTCCGCCTAGAGCCCCTCTAAAGCTACTGCCGGTCCCAAACCCGGATAAAAGAGAGTTGGGCATGGGGTTAGCGACCCCATCCTGTATAGAACGAACTCGTTAAAAAACGCTAACCAGAAAACAACTTAGGTAAGTCTACGTTATATATCTCTTTACTTCATGTGATAGTCGAAGGGAGTTTCACAACCCTGAAAAAACCTTATCGGATGCAAATTTGGATATTTGTTTCTCATATAAAGTCGTGGTCCGTTGGAAACCCTTACTAAAATATATCATATTAGCACCGTGAATGGATAACGATGAAAAGAAATTTGGATAACATATCAGTAACGATTATTGAAGATCATCCAGCGTTCATCCTGTTTATCGATAAACAATTCAAAAATCACTTCTAACTAGTGTACGTCAACGTACGAACCGCATAAATTAAAATGATTAATCCCTATTGATGTTTCCATCAAAATGCCTTAAACGCACGGTAGATAAAACTTTATAGTTCCCAGAACTCAGGCAATGTGATAATGAGAAGTGTAACTTTACTATCACGAAACGAAAAAAAGTAATTTGTTACCGACTAATGACTACATTTATTACCACTAACCCCAAAATTAAAAGTCGCAAATAAAAATTGTTGGAGCATGAAAATACCTGGCTACTTGACAGTCAAAAATCGAGTTACAATTTTCCATGGCCTCTTGAAAAGAATTTCGATCTGCATAAAGGTCAGATGACTAAAAATAGAGCATAAAAGAAGGACTAACATGGAATCCTAGTTTCTCAAGGTAGTGAGAAGTCCCGCTGGCAAAGTTCCCCTCATATTTAGGGCCAGCCTTAATAATAACTAAAGATAGAGTATAAAAACTGAAACAAACCTCCTATTGCACACTGGCTACCAAGTTTGTTTTGAGAAGCCACACGAAGTCCATTACTCAAGTGCGTGATCTTAGTTTCCTTATCCTCGGTGAACGGTTTCGAGTGATTACCGAACCCTTGATCGATCACATCTTTCAATGAAACTTTTGTGATATCTAGCTGGCTTCTTTGGATGCTTGAAGAGAAATGCCTAGCATAACGTCTCAAACAAGAAGCTGAGCGCATGTCCTAGCAAGTCAGACACTTTCAGATTTTCGCTCTCATTCCAACGACCTTGAGCAGTAAACTTATTTAGTATTCAGTAATAAGGATAGGAGGTCTGTCGACCTATATTAATCCTTGCAGTTTGTAATACTGTGGAGGTCCAATCTCGTTTTGAATATATTAACAGATGGTGCTGATATTACGTGTTCCGGTAGAGAATTCCAGTAATTCAATACTCGGTGCGAGAAACGGAACTCCAGACGTAAACGGTTTGATCTCGGTTTTTGAAGTTTCTTCGAATTTCCTCTCAAATGATCGGTTCTAGACGGGAGAAAAAGATAAGACATGTTAATACCAAGGTCATCGTTCAGTATACGATAGGCCAATATTAGATCACCTCTTATTCTACGGTAAGATAACGGAAATAAGTTAAGGTGTCTCAGTCTGTCTTCATAAGATAGGCCAGATAGACCTTGTACCATCTTATTAGCTCGTCGTTGGACTCTTTCTAGCATATCTGCTTCATATTTGAAACAAGAACACGCTGCTTGAATTCCGTATTTTAAATGTGGTCGCACATAAATCGGGTATAGTAATCTAAAAATTTCATCATCTAAATACTGGAAAGACCTACGAATTGACCATAATACCCTATAGCCTTTCGTAGCAGCAGTCTTACAGTGACTAGTGGTTTTGAGATAATTGCTTAATATGACTCCTAAATCTTTATAGTTTCTTACTTTTGGTAGCACGAATCCACATAGTGTATAGTCATACGATTCATCAGAGTAATTTAACTGCATCACTACACTCCTATTAGGATTTACTTCTAGTGACCACCTACCTAACCATGCCACCAATGAGCCAAGATCGTCCTGTAATACTATTCTATCCAACATACCATGTATGGGTCTCCAAATCTTTATGTCATCAGCGAAGAGTAGAACGGATGATTTTGCTACAGTTGGCAATTTATTTACATAAAGTGAGAAGAGAAGAGGACCCAGGATTGTACCTTGGGGAACCCAGCTTTTTACAGGTACCCACGAGGAGAGAACTCCATTAACCCTTACCCTTTGTCTCCTGTCATGGAGAAAGTTACTTATCTAATCGACGACTATATAATGGATTCCAAAATGTTTCAGTTTGAATTTAAGACCAGAATGGGAAACCTTATCAAAGGCTTTACTTAGATCTATGAAAATCACATCCACAGGAGCATTAAGATCCTTTGCCGCAGCCTAATCTTCTCGTGCAATGAGAAGATTTGTCAAGCAAGATAGGCCTTTCCGAAAACCATGTTGTTCCCTGGAGAAAAGATTTTGCCCTTCAACATAGTTTATATTATTATTATTATTTCAACACATAGATAATGGTACAAAAAACACCAAATACATATGCGCCACACAAATCTCATTCGATATGTGTGTGAGGGCTGTGTTACTGTCCGAGTGCCCAAACCGAAACAGGTGGTTATCTTAGGAGGTCACACCCCGAGCCTTCGACCTGAAGGTCTGATCCACAAGGCAGTGGAGCATCGTAAGGAGATGCAGTCCCACGGAAGCCAGTGACCAACAATTGATTCATTCGCCATTTGTTCCCGCAGGATACTGGAGCCCATGTGCACCACTGGTTTGGGATCAGGTTAAAGCGCCGGACATTCGCTTTTCGTCCTCTCATTTTCGTAAACAACACCCCCGCCACGAGAAGGCAGTGGGTAGGACTTCCCTGACAGAGGCTATATACGCGTGGCCGTGTGAGAGTATTTCGAGAGGGAGAGCGGATTCTCCCCACTCTCGGCCGTACCAGGGCATTTGGGGGCAATCCGAATGATTTTCTCCATCAGTTTTACAACTGCACTAGTTAAGCTAACGGGTCTATAGTTACTAACTAAATCCCTACCCCCAGCCTTATACACCGGACTTATTATGGCGTCTTTCCAGTCTCTAGGAAGTCTGGACTGTCTCAGAGACATGTCGAATAGTATCGCTAATGCTTCAGCAATTTCATCTGATATGGCTTTCATGATCCTAGGATGAATATCGTCAGGACCACTGGACTTATCAGGTTTGAGATGCTGGAGTAGCCTTAAAACAGTATCTTTCTCAATGACTACAGGATCCATCAGTGAGCCCTCACGGTCGCGACGAATCATTGGTCGTTCCTCATGACCGATAGAAAACACGTTTCGGACTATATCTTGAATCCCTAACCAATTGTTTTTCGTATGATAGTCTAGTCTTAATTATTAACGCTTTACAGGCATTCCTAATCTTTCAATAACTGGATCTGTATTGTTCTAAGCCAGTAGAGATGAACATATGTCAGTGATTCTTCCTTTTTCTAAGGAGTTTCCTGACCGTTTTAGTTATCCATGGTGGACTATTATTCGGTCTTCGCGGTACCAGGTATGGTATGAACGGGGACGTAACTAGTCTAAATTTACCTTTAAATACAGACCATGCTTCTTCAACTGATATGCTAGTATCTATTAACCAATTTGTCTTAGCAGCACATTCCTGAATGGCTGATATGTTAGCTTTCCATACATTTGGGCGAGGTGTAACCTGATCGTATAACATGTCCCTAGTACCAAACGTGAATGACAAAACAGCGCGGTCGCTGTTCACTAACGGCGGGAGAATATTGAAGTCGACAATATCCTCAGTCTCATGAGTGATTACCAAATCCAGCAGAGAAGAACCCTGGTTAACACCAAAACGTGTGGGTTGGGATACATGCTGTACTAGTGCATGCTCCATTATTGTTATCAGGAACTTACTATCAAAGGAGTTTATAGATCCTGCTGTGGTCATATCAGTCCAACTAATATCAGGTGCGTTAAAGTCTCCTATTATCAAACATCTGGTATTTTCACTCCAAAGATGAATGTGCTCTAAAACAAAGTCATCAGCTAGGCAGATTGGGCTGCGATAGATGACACCGAGCATAAATGTACTACATCCTATAGCCAACTTAAAGCTAATGACTTCACAAGTGCCGCTATCATGGGATTCGCTAACAGAGGAGTGGATATTTATGCTATTGACTATATATAATAGGACGCAACCTCCTTTTCAACATCTATGTCTGTCACTCCTGATGCAATGGTATCCGGATAATTCTGGAGTAATGTTTAAGTCATCGACTAACCAAGTTTCTGTCACTGCTACTATGAGTGGCTTTAACCTGTCCACTAGTGCTTCTAGTTCATAGAACTTATTTCGTAAACTACGAGCGTTGGCATATAAAACTCCTAAGTAGAACAGCCTATCCATACAGGCCTTGGTAGCATTCGTTTCCAAGACCTGACTATCCAAAAACCCACTAGCTGGAGATTTTCCTCGCCGATTTGCCAACGGGTTTCAAGTTCAGCTAGTGCTTTCTTCCTTTTTATTCTATCTTCGAGAGATATGTCAGGTCTAACTCGGATGTCAGAATTGTCGTGACAACGAGCGCTACTTAACAAGAGATCCCGTTGCTTCTCCGATCCTAGGATTACCTTAAGGAGTCTGCATGGACGGGGTTTAACAGTGTCTTCGGTCCTCTTGCCTATTCTTACCAACTTTTTAACCTGAACTCCATTGGAGTTATCTGGCAAAATACTACGAATGTATTCTCCTAGCTTTTCTAAATCATGCGCGTGTCTAATTTTTGGATCAGGATCGCTTGACTCTCGCAATTCGCCCACAATAATATTCGATGTTATTAGATTTTTCTTCTCAGTCATTCCAGGATGGATTTAACTCTTACGATCAGATCTTGGTAGTGCAATTTGTGGCTCACAATTTGAGTCCACCAGTGAGTTACTAACTTCCTGTGTACTGCTTACAGCTTTTTTCTTTTCGTTTCGTTTCCTACGTGCCGTAGTCCATTTTTCATCCCTCATAACACTGGGACTATTTGGAACGGTGACTGTTTTATCCAGATCTTCGGTTCCCACTAAAGGTACATTATTAACAATGTCAGTACTAGGTGGAGATACTCCCCCAGTTAATATCAACGGAGATTTCACTTTCACGTCGTTCAGAGTCGGTTGTTTGAGGCGTTGCGTAACAACACTGACACATTCGTCACTGTTAGTGCCCGTGTTGTCAGCGCATATGCCATCATTCTTCTTACAGGTTGAAGCCAATAGGCTCATAGCCTCCTGTATTAGCAATGCCTTGTTGGCACAGCAAAACATGCAAAGCCAATGTGAGTTAGGCTTCGAACATCTTTTATATGCAGTTGAACTTGAACGGGTGCACATTTTGTGGAACCACTAATTGCATTCGTGACACTGCATTCCCTCCTCCACAAGGAACAAACAGTTTGGTTGTCCACATTTGTGGGTACTACCAACCATTTTCGTTTGATCAAGGTGTAACACACAATATGATCACAGTATGAACCACAAGACAACTCTAGCAAGATGTTAAACCTTAACTAAAGTACTTTGATACAGACCAAGAATGCTTTTGATTGTAATAAATACACAAAAGCCGAAAAAACTCAGTAAAATATCACCTTAACTGAAGTAGATTCAATTAAAGTGTAAATCGTAGTTCTAATACGTAATTTACGATCAAAACAGTTTACTAATTTAACGAGAAACAATACCACTGTCCTTTGTAGATAGTCTCGGTGCACCGTGTAGGTTGGTGAAATTGTGTCAATCGTTGCAGCTTGTCTTCTAGTAAAGACCCAGATCTTCTTTGGAAACACTCGCTAATGAGACTGATACTACTTTTTCGGATACGGCGTTCTAGTTATCGATTAATCACAATTAAGGAAGGAAAATTGATGATAGAATAATAATAACAATAATAATAGAGTAATAATAAATCAGGTTCTGTATAATTAAGAATATTGAGCTGAGAAATAAAGGGAAATAAAGGAGACGCGAAATACGTAAATCATCCAACCTATACAAGGTTTTCTGAATTCATGGCAACCGACGTCTGTTCGCATGAAACGCCTCCATAGTTTCAGCCGCCATGTAGGAGAATGGGAAAGTTCTCGTCTAGAATCTCCGCCTTACTTGGCTAATCTCATTACTTATTGAGTCAGCATGTTTTTGAGTTTTAAGGATTGCTTGATG